CTCTAAGACTCATGTGAGTACTTATGTAACAAAACATCATAGAGGACTAAAAGGTAATGAACATAAAATATTTGGCACTATGTCTGGTACACACATCACCTTAAAGTTTTGGTGGCTTGAATAATTTCATATTTAGTAACCTGCTCTCCCTGCTAACTACAAATCACAATGATTTCCTAAAGTAATTAATTAAATATCTTTAAAAGCAATCTTTTTATCAGTTCCTCAGAGTCCATCCTATAACGGATTTGTCCAATAACATACTATGAAGCATTTATTTCCATTTTTACTATAATACTTTGATGCCCTCCTTGTGGTTGATGCCTAGAAGTGGAATTCCAAAGACATTTTAAGTTTACAACACATGGTACTAAAATGGTTGGCATCAAATTGCATTTATTGCCACTGTGAGCTGAATAGTCACTTGAATGATCTAATGTGTCTTGGGATAACAGACTGTTTACTAGCATAAGCAGGAAAAAATTAGTTTCTTGTTACATTTACACTTGCTTTAGGTATAAAAGACAGAGAGAAGCTAAATATAAAAATTAGCTATTTGAACAATGTGAAGTCATTTTTGTGATGAGTTCCCAGGCCTCTAGCTGGGATGAATTAAGCAGGCCTGAAAGCAGAGACATTACAGATCTTCAACTAGTGGGGAACAGTGGTTCTAAAAATAAAAACAAGTGAGTCTAATTTCATTCTTCTACAGATGGCAATCCAGGTTTGCCATTTGAACACGCTGTCTTTCCTCCAGCATGTGCTCTTGGCACCTCTGTCAACTACCACGTGCTGAAATTGTGTGCCCTTATGCTTGGGTCTTCTATTATGTTCCATTGATCTGTGTCTGTTTTTGTTCCAGTACCACACTGTTTTTGTGCCTACAGCTCTGTAATATAGTTTGAGATCTGGTATGGTCCCCTAGCATTGTGCTTTTTGCTCAAAAAGTTATTTTGGCTATCTGAGGTCTTCTGCAATTACATATGGATTTATCAGTTTCGATTGAGGGGAACACATTGGCCAGCTTCAATACTCCCCAATGCAGCATTTAACAGGGAATGCATCTTTGGAGCAGAAGAAGTATCTTCTTAATACTCTTCCAGCTCTATAATTTTAAAGTATAGAATACATCACTCATTTGAGTCCTTTTTCTTTAAACTGTCAAAAACATTTTATTATTTTTATTTTATGTGTATGCGTGTATTGCCTGCATGCAGGTAAGTGCACCCATGTCATGCAATGCCAGCGGAGGTCAGAAGAGGCTGTTGGATCCCCTGGGACTGGAGCTACAGACATTTGTTAGCTGCCATGTGAGTGCTGGGATTCGAACCCGGGTCTTCTACAAGAACAACCAGTGTTCCTAACTGCTGAGCCATCTCTCCAGCCCCAAGTCCTTATTTTTTTGTTTGTTTAAAAAAAAAGAAAAGTAAATACAAAATTGTGTGGAATTCACAGAGGCATGTTGTTGCCTGATGTTTTAAGTCCTAATTGTTATTTTACATGGTAACCTTATCAAAGGAACACACACCAGCAGCATGCCACCTGGGGCAGCACATCCCTCCCTGCAAACCACCCAAGGTGCCAGCTGATTCTAGGTACTTTGGGCATTGCTGTGGCAGTGTGGAGCCCATGGTGGAGGTGGGAGGCCAGGGGTATTTCCCCAAAATCTCAAGGCAAACATTTACCTTTTAATTTTATTATTATTAATAATAATTATTATTATTTGGCATTTACCATTAAACCTGAAATGCTAACATTGCGGGCCACAGGTATAACAGGTAATGAGCAATGAAGAAGCATTGGAAAAGTGTTCCAAACCTTCTGTGTGAGCGAACAGGTTTCTTAATGTATCACTGTGGTCCACAAAGAAGGCTGGCAAGGTAGCAAGGAGATGCTGTATCAGCTACTTCAGCCCAAAACAAAGTCTCTTTGAACTTTAAAATTGTTCCAATGAAGCTTATTTTATTTTTGCTTAATCAAATTGTTGGATAGACACGTCCTCCGAAGGACCAACAACTGATGGATGTCTGAACCCTAAAAAACTCTGTAGGAAGGGAGGGAGACAGTCACCCCTTCCATCCAATTGGTCAGGGGAGGGTTCTAAGAATAGACAAGGAAGAAGCCAGGGAGAAGGCAGGAGGTTTGCCATCTTTGGGGGAGGGGGGCGTAGGCCTGGAAGGCTCAGCCAATGTAGGGAAAAAAGACCACAGGCATCCATACCTTTATAAGTAATCCCTCCATGACATCATGAGCTCTGTAAGGAACCCCAAATAAATATGTTTATTCCCTAAACTGTAGTTTGGAGGAATATTGGTCAGTGGGTTGTAAGGGAGCCATGCGTGCACCTCCCAGCAGTAAATTGGACTTACACAAATAGAGGTTTTTTTTCCATAAGAATAAAAGCCATATGGAAATCTACCGCTATAGAAGCTTATTTAAGTATATACATATAACATATACATTATAAAAGGAGTTACCATATACCAGGGAAACTGTCCTTACTAGACAACATAGGCTAACAAAGTAAAGCCCAAAGCCTGGAATGGACTGTTTTTTTTGACACTGTTGACTAGAGGTTCTATAGACCCTCAAACAATACTGGCCATTGTCCCCGCTCTTGGTTACCTACCAGAACTTGATAGTAAGATCCTATTGCTGAAGACACTTACATACATGAGCTATAGAACAAACAAGGAGAAATCAAGCTGGTGCTGACTTCATTGCCTCATGTCTACTGCCTAGTGTTCACAGCTGAAAGGTTCTTTGCATGCTACATTACCCATCTGTGAATCCTGTGAGCTGCAACAACTGTCCTGGCAAGAGATGCCCACCAATGTAGTAGCCAACCACTTTCTAATTGGATTTCAAGTCTATTTCATAAGATGGAGCCCATACCTGACACTGATATCAGGCCTACAAACCTGTGGCTACATAGGTTACAGGCCATAGGGGAGAGCCTAATATTTTTTTCAGAATGTTTTCTTTTTTAAATTTATTATTATTGTTTTTTATGTGTATGAATGTATTGCCTGCATGTAGCTAGGGGCACCCTTGTTGTGCAATGCCAGAGGAGGTCAGAAGAGGATGTCAGATCCCCTGGAACTGGAGTTGCAGATGGTTGTTAGCTGCCATGTGGGTGTTGGGGATCAAACCTGAGTCCCCTGCAAGAACAGTTAGAGCTTATAACCCCTGAGCCATCTCTCCAGCCCCAAGAGAGAGAAAGCCTAATATTATTATTCTGTTAAGTAGGTACAGTATTAAACTAATTCCTAATGACTTATTGTTGTACACTTAGATTAGTGGATCTCTCAGCTCTCGTCAGAAGATGCTTTAAAGACCCACAACTGGCCAGTGTGCAAAGGAGAGGCTGTAGAGTCCTTATCCCTGAATAGGGCACTTAAATTTCTGCCTCCCGAAGTTCAGGGAACATTGCAGAAAAGGGAGCAGAAGGATTGTATGAGTCAGAGGTGGTAAATGATCACAAAGAAAGAGAGTTTTCAAGACAGTTGGGTAGCTACTCATATGAGCTCACAGCAATGGTGACAGCACGCACAATTCTCCCATGTAAACTCAAACCAGACAAAATCCCAGAACAGATGTGGGAAAGTAAGTAAGAAACTCTAACCCTTCCTGAGGAACAAGTAGCAAATGATGGCTGCTGGGAGTGGGAGAGTCAGTCTTTCAGTCTTGTTTAAGAGTCAGACTCTTGATAGGTTCAACAGGCTTCAGTGGATAGACTCAGGCCAAAGGGCATCTGGGGACACAAGTTTGACTCCATAGGCGCATATATATATATATGCTGAAATATACATATGTACATATGTATCTATTTATGTGTAACAGAGCACATGAAATTTGGTGAGGGATAGTAGTGAGGGGGTGCTAATGGAGAAGGGATGTGAATTTCATCAAATATAATGTATGAAATTTGCAAAACTTCAAGACACATTTCTCATTGAAGAAAAAAATGTGATGATAGTAGAAAACATGTTTAGAAGTTTATCTATAATAAAGACTTGGCTATCTCATTTTAATGACATGAATTTGCATGCAAGACAATAATGTAGTGAGGTGAGAGAGCATTGAGAGTGTTCCACTTCCGGGATCCAATCATAAGGACATGTAGGAAGTTGTATGTGTACATCAAGTAAAAGCAATACACTGAGGTCCTTGAAGGCTAGGTCTGCATCTCATTAATCTTTGATTCTCCATTAATTATATGGATACAGGTACATACAGGCATGCAGCATGTTTCCATATCTTCTATTTATAGGTACATCTCATTATTTGAGAGAGAGATATAGTCAGTCAACCTAGATAGTGAAATTGCTAATAATGTATTTCCAACACGAATCAAGAGTGCATCAGGATTAATGATGTCTCCTTTAGCTATACATGATATTTTTGTTCTCCAATACAAAGGAAAGGCATTTTCCAATGATATATTCCACAAAGAATCAAACTGCCATTCTGCATAATGCCACAAAATGTCATCAGATTTCTCTAGAAGTGCATTTCACACTTTGAATGCTTTTATTTTTAAATGTTGTTAATTAAATAATAAAAATAAAACATCGCATTCATAATTATAAAAGTTGTTCCTCTCAACTCCTGCTAAGGCTCTGAGTTAAGTTAAATGGATTATCTAGTTTTGTTGTCTGCATCAGATAATCAGCTGGAGAACTATCAAATCCCCAATCATAGATCAAGAAGGATAAATTTTTAAATGGCCAGGCAATTAGCTAAAATAGAATGAAGTTCTCAAAGTCCACTGTTTTCCATTATGTAGCTATAGCTATGAGTTGGGGAAATGATTATGAATTCTGTGCCTTCAATTTTTGAGCTAAAAAAAGCAAAATTATGCTCTCTACCTATCTGCTTATTGAAAAGCTTCATTAACTTCCTTTTGTAAGATGTCTTTATATCCGTAAATTGAAGTTTCCACTAATTTTTTTAGACGTCATAGAGTTATAGATAATGTGATATTTAGAAGTTCTTACCTGAGTAATGAAGGGTAGAAATGTGATATGCAAGAAATCCAATGTAATGGTTGGTTGAAAAATGATTTTAAGGAATTTGAAGCAGACTCATCCATGCTGTGCTGAAAGGTCCTAAGAAAACAGAAGTGATTGTTTCAGAATGTGCAGGAAACATTGACTGTTGAGAGCACTGAAATAACTTTGAATTTTACTTAGTTTTCACAAGACAATTTTTACAGAAAATTTTTATCAGTTTTACATAGGGCCATGGATCCACAAAAAACACAAATTGAGACTTAAGATTTATCTGAGCCTCCATGGTACAATCCTTGCAATGGGGTTGCTATAGTAATGTCATTATCATTTTTTTTTTTTTTTGTTTTTTTGAAGCAGGGTCTCCCTGTAGCCCCAGCTGTCCTGGAACTCACTATGTAGACCAGGCTGGCCTTGAACTCACAGAGATCCACCTGCTTCTGCTTCCCGAGTGACCATTTAATTATAACTGTAATAATTCAACTGTAAACCTAAAAATTTACAGCCAAATTTGAAAGAGATGCATCCTACCTCAGGAAAACGTTATTGAATATGTCAATTATGATGTAATGATATGCTTCTTCTAAGTATGTTGTTATTAAATAAATCATTTTTAAAAATAAAAAAAAAAGTTCAACAACTAACAAAGAGACCCACAACTAGTCAACATGCAGAGAATAAGAGAGCATGGTGTACTCAGCTCTAAATGGGACACCTGTATCACACCGTGTCTCCTCCCAAGGCTCAGCAATCATTGTGGAAGAGGGGCAGAAAGATTGTAAGATCCAGAGGTGGTAGATAGATACAAGAAAACTGTGTTGTCTGGACACCACAGGATAGTTGTGCATACGAACCCATAGGGACTGTGACAGCATGCACAAGGCCTGTGCAAGCAAGCTAGACAAAACAAGCAAACAAACAACAGCAAGGATGGGGAGGTGGGCAAGAAGTCCTAGCTGCGGATCTATTGACAACTGATAGCTGCTGGGAGGAGAGTCAGTTTTCTTTAAGAATGTGATACCTGGTAGGTTGAACAGATTTCAAAGATGGCCCCTACCACAACAGCATTTGGGGGAAGTCAAATTATAATTGATAGGTCTTAAAAAACTGAAAAATAATAATAGAGTACATGAAGTTGGGTGGGGGCATAGTAGGG